TGAAGGGCCAACCCGACCCCGCCGCACCCCCAGGACCGGCCGGTTGCAGACCCAGCGCCGTGCCGGCACGGGCGGGCGCATCCCTCAGCTCCCAGGGAGGTGCTGAGCACTAAGTGGGGTCCCTGGAAATGTGGTCCGGGGTCTGTTTTTGGAACTTCATGTCTTGGAAATCCAGCGTGGGGCTGGCCAGGTCGCGGCTGAGCTTGGCAGGGGGGTTTGTTTGCAGCCTTGGGAATTGCCGGACGTGAGGCTGTGTGCAGATGCTGCCGATAACGCCTCCCTTGATGTTTGGGTCATTTCTCCAGAGCAAACACCGGGAAAGGAGAAACTGGTTAAATGACAACTCCAGCCTGGCAGGGATGGCCGGGTCACCAAGTCCATCGCACCCACGCTGCCTCGGGTCACCCTGTCCCCGCCGCCCTGGCAGCGGCTGTGCCCACCCTCGCGCCACACTTGGGTTTCCCCACGTGGCTGTTCGCGTGGCTCCCCGCACGTGGCTCCCCATGAAACCGCATGTCTTTTTTTTTTTTTTTTTTTTTTCAGTGGTGGGAGGGTCACCTGTACAAACCCAAACTGCCCCAGCGATGGGCACGCGGTGCCCAAGCACGTGGGATGCTCCATCCAGGGATGTTTTGGGAGATGGAGGCAACATCCCAAGGTTCTTTCCCTGATGGCAACTTGATGGTGGGGACATCCGGAACAGGGGACACGTCCCCGAAGGCGCTGCCCTCCATGGTGACCACCTGTAACCCCCTGTTTATGTTTGCTTTCACCCTGCAAGGCTGCACTGCTTAAATAAATGCAGGGGGGGACAGCCACTGGCCCTGACATGGCAAACAACCACGGATAGCCAGGAACGGGGAATAAACACACGGAGCAGTCACGGCAGCGACGGAGAAGTCACGATTCCCTTTGGGCTCCTGCCGGACCTGGCTTGGTGCGACCGGGGTTTTTTTTCTTGCCGGACCTGGCTTGCTGAGTCCGTGCTTTTGCTGTTTGGGATACGGAGGGAATTGGGGGCTGCGGCGGTGGCTCCCGCATCCCGACGCCGAGGCTGAACCTCAGCGGGGATGTTCGGTGGGCAGGGGATGCACTTGGCTGCCGGCCGTTGGGATGTGCTGCCAAAGCAAAGCTGAGCTTTGAGCGCAGGGGAATGGGGGCTTTTGGGGGCAGTTTGGGCACTGGCTGGTGTATTTTTGGGATACGGAGGGAATTGGGGGCTGCGGCGGTGGCTCCCGCATCCCGACGCCGAGGCTGAACCTCAGCGGGGATGTTCGGTGGGCAGGGGATGCACTTGGCTGCCGGCCGTTGGGATGTGCTGCCAAAGCAAAGCTGAGCTTTGAGCGCAGGGGAATGGGGGCTTTTGGGGGCAGTTTGGGCACTGGCTGGTGTATTGGGCCCCCCGTAGTCCAGGGAGGGCAGATGGGGGACACGACAGGACTTCACCTTACAGGGGATAATATCTCCCCGATCCCACTGCACGGGGAAAGCAGCCGGGGCTTCTCCATGGTCACAAAGAAATGCAAAGGGAAGAACACCCTGGTGGGAAGCTGTTTCCAGGTGTTGGAGCCCAGCCGAATGCCTGGGGTAGGACCAGGATCCATAAAATCCCAGGCTTGAGCTGCACATGGGCACCGCTGGTGGGCTTCTGCCCTGGGGTCTGCGGATGCTGGCAGCCCCCATCTCCTGGGTACCTGGGAGATGCTTTGGGATGACCCCCAGCACCAGGAGAGCAGCCGCACCGTGTGCCCACCATCTCCC